GGGAGAGTGAGCGAATGGCTGTGTGGTGTTTAGCTGTCTGCCACGTTAAACCACAATATCCATTATTCTATTCTCCATTCCCAAAACTAATTTCAAATTCATGTTTTAAATGATAGATTACTAGCCTGATAATTACAAAACCATTGCCACTGAAACTACCAAGGATTTAAATATAAGCAAGAATTAGTGCATATGTGTGTTCCTTTTATAACCTGACAGCATTGCAAGGTGATGTTCCTGACAGAGAAGACAGTAAGTTGTTGGAGGGGCCTCTAACTTCCAGAGAGTAATTGATAGCCATTTTGAGACTGGTGTGTGTCCCTTTTGAACAGATGCATCTCTAGTTTGCGTCTTCCTTCTAAGTCAGATGACAAATAATGGAGAGCATGTACCTAGATAAGGAACTGTTATGGTCAATAATAGCACCATTGAATCATAAAGCAGGGCTTCAAAATGTTATCAGAAAGGCACTCGACTGCATAGAGACAAAAATGACTGCTTCTGCCATTTGTTTTGTGGACAAGAAAAGTAGATGTCTAAAGGCAAATCTGTATGAGGAGGAAAATAGCCTGATGTAGTTGATGTATTTTATGTGACAGTTCTGGTACATTCGAGCATAGGCTGCCCAGTTAATGTGTCCTACACTTCACTAGCTTGAAATCATTTCTGTGAAAGATGACTTGCTGATTTTAATTGAGTTTAGCAGATGCTACGTGTGGAAAAAATCTAACCAGTGCTTACATGACAGAAGAAAAAGGTGGTCTTGCATGCAGTACTGGGGAGCAGCTTATGTGGAAGGAGTTCAAATTTAGCTGAAGGCAGGTGGGATTCGGACCAGAAGTCTGTTATAGCTTAATGTCTAGTAAAAAAAAATCGCTAATAGCCATCTTGTTTATTTTATTTTAAATTTATATATTTGAAGGCTAATTTACTATTCTTTTTTAATGTTAATAGGTAATAAACATCTATAAAGCTTTGTCATCCAAAAAAAGAGTGGTAATAAAAGAAAAATACAGTGGCTGAATTCTGTAAAGATCAGGCAGTACTCCTGCTAACTGAGATTTACCTAAATAAAAAGCTTCAGTGTTTGGAGAAGTAGTCTACAAAGTTATATCGTGCTCGTTATCTTTTTCCTGAATTCGGTTATGCAACATGCTTTAATCTGTAGTTGAGTCCATCCCCAATTTATAGTTTCCTGAAATTAAATTATTGATCGTCCTTCCAGAGAGTATATGGTAGGCATGAGGAAGCAGACAGTAACCTTTCATGCATTGTTAGTGATCTTGCTGAGTCACAGTGACAGTGTTTAATGGGCCTGTTCATTCAAGCCTTGCAGTAGGAGGCTTAACACCTGATTTTTTTGAGATGAAGGTTTGAAAAGGAGTACAGTATTTCTCATCTTATTTTTTTCATGTGTAACAGCTCAAAAGCGTTTTAATTTGTCTAAGGTTACGTAAGGTTATCTGAGGTGAATGCATTGAGCAATGGGAGTTGAGTTTGGGATAGAAAAGCAGTGAATTCTCACTATGAATTGTTAAGAGGGGTTTTGCTTTTGATTTAATTGTGCTTCCACATCAAACTTTTTTTTTTTTAATCTTCTAGCTATCGAGTGTATTGTCTGCTTGGAGATGGAGAATTATCTGAAGGCTCTGTTTGGGAGGCAATGGCCTTTGCTGGGTTTTACAAGCTTGATAATCTCGTTGCTATATTTGATATTAACCGTCTTGGACAAAGTGACCCTGCCCCTCTGCAGCATCACGTTGAAATTTACCAGAAACGCTGTGAAGCCTTTGGGTACGTGATTGGAAGAAGTTCAGTATAGTCTTCCATTTGAAACTGTATGTTTCATTTGCTTTTCAGAATTTTTCAAATGAGCTTTCATCTCTAAAGGATACCATCACCAAAAAAGATGGTCTTTCATAATGCCTGATCTTGGTCATCTATATTGATACAGCAGAAATATTAAAAGTGGCAGAGTTTTTTGTTTAGAGGAAAAATAAAAGGGGTGCTTACTCAGATAAATTTGTTAGAGGATCTTAAAGCAGTTTTTGTCACATTAAATACAGATTTTATAACTGTGTGACCAAATGTACTGTCATAGCAAGTAGATCAGAAAAAAGGGCATGGAAACCATTACTCATAAGAGCATTCTTTGTTTACCAGCTTTCATTTAGTTTACAAATGCATATTTCTGTGTAGATGCAAAAATCCATGATAAAAACTGTCAGATACAATAGCAGCCATGCAAATTATGATGGAGCATTTTTGTTATTTTAATCAACTTCCACTGACATTTTTTAATTGATTTCTAGATGTTTGAGTTGCTCTTGTGATTAAAAATGGCTATTTTGTCTGAAGAAACGTAGGATAACTTAGTTATCTGTGGGCTGTGAATTTTGCTAGTAGCTGTTAATCCCTCTGTGACTCATTTTGCGTTATAAAAAAGGGACTATGATATTTTATGATCTCAAATGAATGCTAGTTCATGTTTCTGGCATACTTTGTGTCTCTTAAAAGGACACTGCATTGGAATGAAGTTAGTATTCATTATTGTTATTGCTAACTACCAGAGAGTGTCACATGCTAAAACCCTTTAGAAGCAGTTGATCTGTTTGTGTTTTTAGCTGGCATGCTATCATCGTTGATGGACACAGTGTGGAGGAACTTTGCAAAGCCTTTGGCCAGGCCAAACATCAGCCAACAGCTATCATTGCAAAGACTTTTAAAGGCAAAGGCATATCAGGTAATAAAACATCTATTGTTTTGCATACACATGTGTATATAATAATATATACATAGTGCTGCAATAAAGGTGCAATCATTAAAAAATACAGAAGTTTAGTGCTTCATACATTTGAAAAAGGTTGGTATCCTGTCAGCTTTTTGACTTGATCATACTACCATACACTCTGAAAACTCAGAATTTCACCCTATTGTTTTTTTCCTTTGTTGCCTTTTCTTATGGAGGACATTAGGTTGACACTTCATTGGAAGCAGGCAAAGATGTGGCCCTTGGTTCTTCATGTTATTCAGCCAGGTGTGCTTCCATGTTGACTGGGCTTTTATAGATCCCCAGCTAGAGAGTAGGATTTCCTCTGCTGTCAGCTGTACTTGAGTTGTTACTCTTTAAAAAGTATTTCCTAGTCTGGAAGATGGCGAGGGGGAACATTGGACCATATGATTTGGTCTTGAAAATTGTCTTAGCAAAAGAGGGCAACCTTTTTGGCTTGCTCTTGATCCCTAGACTCACAGAGACTACTCTGAGAAGGGAGTGACTTTGTCACAGAAGCTCCCTGTCCACTGTGTTGCAGATGACTGGGTCTGCTTGTTACCAGCTAGGCAGTAAAAATGCATGGAAACGAGGAGGGATGCTGCATTTACAGTTTTGGCAAAGCTGCATGAGACATGGTACCTAAGCTATCTGGTCATACTACAGGTTATTTCATATGATCTGATGTGTATTTCATTGAGATACAGGATACAGTAGTCCATAGAAATTATTTCATAGGTTAGCAGCTGTTTGAATTTTGGAGTTCATGGTGCCTCTGAGATCGTTTTGTAGTTTTCATGTGGTGTGAAACTTACCTAAATGTCATTGTCGAGGGGACAGATGTGTACCTACATATTTGAGCAATAGCATGCAGAAAGTCTTTCAAACTCTTTATGCTTCTCGACAGTGTTGGTGCTAAGAAAATTATTTTGGTTCTTGCAAGTGAAATGTGTGCTAGCTACTGAGCATTGTATCCACAGAATGGACTAAAAGCATATTCAGTGTCAAGGGTTGCCATGTTTCTGTTCAGCTACAGCTTTTAGCAGCACTCTGTGAATTTGTCTTTCTGACCAGATAAATACTACTAATAACAGGAGTGAATATCTTCATGCCTTTTCATTGAGCAAGCAAGCAAAATTTATTATTCTTAGTGACTTACTCAGTGAAAAGCAGCATACCAGCCAGAGGCGTAATTTTGCTGTTAGTGCCAGGTGTACAAAGATGAGAGTCATCAGAAGCTATTAAAATAAAGCTGTAAAATGTTAGGTCTTGTTTGAATTAGATAGCTTGGTTAACTGTTGTTTGGAACTTAGCTGAGTTTGTTTATTTAGGCCTAACGAAATTTCATGTTAACTGTTCACACTGATTTACGGTTTACTTCTTGCCACACTTATGGACCAGGTCTTTTAGGTGCCAATTTAAAAACAATTTCAGTAGAAGATGCTGGAATTTCATCACTAGTTTGGAATATATGGAATCTGACTATTTCTCTTACATATTTAAACATGTCTGTCTTAATGCAATTAAATACTATTGTAACTGTTTATAGTGGGAATAATAAGGAAGTTCTTCCTCGGAAGACTAGACTGTCATACTCCACTGCACTTTTATCTGGGTAAAATCTGCAGCTAAAAACTTAAATAGTTTTTATATTTTTTTTATTTGTAATGTAATTTTAAATACACAGGCGTTGAAGATAAGGAAAACTGGCATGGAAAGCCCCTTCCAAAAAACATGGCTGAACAAGTCATTCAGGAAATAGATGACAAAATCCAGAATAAGAAAAAGCTTTCTCCAGCCCTCCCAGAAGAAGATGCACCTGTAATAAATATTAGAAACATTAAGATGCCATCTCCACCAACTTACAAAGTGGGAGAAAAGGTACTCCCTTCCTCTTTCACTGTTTGTCAGATATCTTCAAAGTGTGAGACTGTTTAATGGATGGCAGGAGGTTTTGTGTTATCCCTTGCCACAGCTTCAACTGCCCACCTCTTCTCTGCTATTTTGAATATCCCGGTAAACACCTACCTGTGTGGTGTGACTCACAGACATTCAACTCGCTGAGTATGGAACGGATATATTAAAATATGAAGACTCAAATCACTCTTCTTCATTTTGTGATCATTATCAATTATCCAGACTATTTTATGTGTATTTAAAATTAAAGAAACTCCACAAGGTTCAGTGAATCTCCATGATTGGAAACTAAGTTTTCAAAAATTCCTAGCTGGATAGGTAGGGAGTTGCTACAGATGTGTGTCCTGATGCTTCACTGTATTTTTCTTTTTTTTTCTTTACTCTTCTGTGTGTCACTGTTCTTATGTACTTTTGATATGGCTAATATTTAAAATGTTTTTAGTTTGGTTTTTTTAATTGTATGTGCATGCCTTCATGGAAAAACAACAAAATGGAGGGGAAAAAAAAAGCTTCTAGAAACAGAAAGTTATAACAGTCCTGCTATATTTTTCTTTTCCTAGTGGGCTACCCGCAAAGCTTATGGTGTTGCACTTGCAAAACTGGGCCATGCTAATGATCGAGTGATTGCGTTGGATGGAGACACAAAGAACTCCACATTCTCAGAGCTTTTTAAGAAAGAACATCCCAGTCGCTACATTGAATGCTACATTGCTGAACAGAACATGGTAACTGGCCTCTTTTTTTCTTTTTATTTTTGTGGTCATATTGTCTGCATTTCAGCAGAACACAAGGAGATGGCAACATGTCAACAACAGTAATGTGTTCCACAGTGTGATTTGTAGAGATTTAACTCTGAAAAGACTCTTTGGGTTGGGTTTTTTTTTTTTTCTTCAGAAGAAATGGAATGTTACAGTGTGACAATAAGTTCTGCACTAGACTGGGGTATAAAGGTGAGGACAGAGAAAGAGTTAATAAATTTAGCCTAATGACATTTGTACAGAAAGGACTAAAATAATTTGGTAACTCATCTGTTTGACCTAGTCTTCAGTTGCCACCTGTATGTGTTCACTGAAGCAAGTGAAGTTAAAGACACAAATTCAGGCAGAAGTTTGTTGTTGTCTTCAATGATTTATAACCAAAGAACCCATGGATGGACTGCCTCTTGCAAATTTTGTATTAGGGCAGTTTCATGAGCTTGAGTCAGGCATTTAGGATTTACATCGACTTAGGAGAAGTTTGGCATGAAGAGCAGACCAGTTTTTGTGTAAAATAAATGTATGGGGTAATTGTGGCAATGAACAATTTAAGGACCTTGTTCTAATTTCCATTTTGCTGAAGAAGGGCCCTTTTAGTAAATACCAGTCCAAATAACACAGGTAAATCCATTTCCACTTAGTAATGATAGTTTTTGTCTGCTGGAGATAGTAAAACCATGTCCTTTGGACTTAAAGTGTAAGCCTTTGATCCAGGAAAAAAAAAAAAGGGGGATAAGTCTTAAAACTCTGTGAATGGCTGCTTGGAACAGATAAAGAAAAGCTCCCAGCAAGAATCCACAATAACAGCAAGCAGTTGAGGCAAGGAGCAGAGGAGATGCTGGAGGATAGGTACTGGGAGAGTGAGTTGCCTCCTTTCCTTTTTGGAAAGGCCAACAATTAGGAGCAGGACTGGACAGAGATTTTTAATCTGCATTGAGAGCTTCTGGCTGAAGTTTTATGGTAGGAAGTCCTACAGATGATCTCTTGGAAACAGTCGATAAATGAGGAACTCACTTCTTGTACAATCTCCCTCTTTTCAGGTGAGCATTGCGGTTGGTTGTGCCACTCGTGACAGAACTGTTGCTTTTGCCAGCACCTTTGCTACCTTCTTCACACGGGCGTTTGACCAGATCCGTATGGCTGCCATCTCTGAGAGTAACATCAATCTCTGTGGGTCGCACTGCGGTGTTTCTATTGGTAAGGGCAGCCTTGGCTTATTTATCAGCAGCTCCTATCCATTTAGTGATGTGTCTAGCAATCAAACTGATAATGCTTTGTGGAGACAATCAGTAATATAGCTGTGATGGTGTAACAGTGGCACCATTTATGGGAAGAAGTCATATTTGCAATTCATTTTTATCAGACACATTGTTGTATTTAAAAAGAATGAGAAAGATTTTTAGCCTTCATCAGCTCATCTGCTTTTTTTTCTCTTTTATCAGTTTGGCTTATAAAAATAGGACTTTTACCTACAAGCTTTTCTACTCTACAAGTATAGAATGATAAAAAGGGATTGGATTGAAAGTGAGGAGCTTAGGTTCTGCTTAGGTTCCTTTCCATCTTTGCAGTTGACATCCTCTCTGATGAGAATAGTCATATGCTTACTGTACCTTTGTTTCCCAGTCCCTAAAATGAGAAACTAATGATACTTACTCTTGCACAGATGCTCTTGTCCACCAATCTCAAAAACACTACAAGGGGTAAATATTTTTGGTTTATTATGCCTTTGAAGATCACAGATTTGAAATAATTGCTTCAGTTTACCTCAGTATTTCTTACTACTGAAGCAGTTAATGTGTTGATTAAAAAAACCCAAAACCTCAAACTACTAATGAAACAGGAACTGTGAAGCTGTTATGTAATTCAGGAAATTGGCTGACCTTCGCTGGTCTTTGCTTCCCATCATAACTGTTTGGTATATGTCAGATCATATCGGGGTTTGATTTTCGTTTGAGGGAGGAAGGGAGGGTTTTTTTAATGAAATGCATAGACATCACCCATGAAAGCAGGAGCAGACTTGCATACCAAGAAGGAAAATGCCAGTAGACATTCATGCTTGAAAAACTATTAGGTATTTACAGGGGAAAAGAAAGGGAGGGAGAGCTGACGGGGCAGTAAATTAAGGTGCTCTGCATAGATCGACTTTTCAGTTGATTTAATAGTTTTGGCTAGCAGTATGGTTTGGAGGAGGGTTGGGCTTTTTTGTTTAAAGCAAAACAGTTTGACCTGTAATATTGGTAAAGTTTTGAAGATTTAAAGCTGCTTCATAAACGTGTGTAGTCTCATCCAGAACCTCAAGCTTAACTTGCAGTGGTATAGAGTATGCTGTAGTAGTGGAGACTGTAAGTGTATCAGATTATGGCTTGTGTACATTATTAAGGGAGGGATTCTATTACAAGCGTCTTTCCTTTTTAAAATCAGTCCTCCCACCTCATCGTAGTCTAGTCCAATCCAGTTTAAGTCTTTTAGCAAGCAGCAAAGGGTGTTGGTGCAAAAGCCAATTAGCTTTGGTCTTCACTCATTTTAGAGGGTAAAACTTTGGGTTACCTGAATTGTCTCCTAGAACTACACTTCCAAGTTTCAATTTTCAGCACTTGAAATGTTCTGCTGGGAGCTGTGATTGTGAAGTGCATACTTAGATTTATGAAGTTGTTTGAGTTACAAATCTGATTCAGGCCTCAACTGATTTTCAAAAAAGAATTTGAACCCGAAGTTTTGCAACCAAGTTGTAAAAGAAAGTAATTCAGAGAAATCCTTCAGCAGTTAGAAAATTCAATTTTAAATGCAAGGGTATGAATTAAGTGTACTTCCTATTAGAACTTTGGACCTGCATGGAATTCAGAATTCTAACTGGATTTGTGGTGAAAATTGAAGTTTTATGTATGCAGTCCTAGGTAGACCTGGACTTCTACAGCATTGATATTTGGATCCATTAAATTTATGAGAAATAACTATCACAATGACCTCCTGAACTTGTACTAAATTCACTTCTAGACCAATAGTTACTGATGGACCAAAAAATCTAATGAAACATTAAATGTGTTTTCAAGGTAAAAAAAAAAAAAAAAATCTGTATTTTCAAAACTGAACGTGTC